CCTTCCTCCTTCTTTTTTGCTAACTTTTTTTCTCTTTTTCTCAAGATAACCTGGATGGTGTTGTTAGTGTTTAGAGAATAATTTAGTCTACTCATTTGGCATCATAGCGACAGCAAGAGAGTTGCTGGGTACAGACTCTGGGGTGCAATGAAACTGTCAACGGTTGGATTTAAGAGACCTACACACTGACTCAGAGCAGCTCAAAACAGAAGCAAGGGCAGCGTACACATGGCAAGCTCAGGAGGAAGGTAGACTCTTTCAGCTGAAGAGACAGAGGTATAAACCCTTCAAAAGTGGCACACATGAGGAGTGTGGGGAGGCAGTTCCAAGTGACTCCACAGCCCTGGGTACTACCATACCCTGTGACACACACTGCTGGGATAGATGGTCCCAGTGTACACTATTATGCAGGCACCCCCACAGCTCCTGTGGCTGTGTGACATGAGATGAGTGTCATTGAGTAGGTAACTAAGTACCTGCTGCTATCCTACCACTCACTGGTTTGAAGATAAGGGCTCAGGCCATACATTGCTGCTGGGGCAGAGCCATCTACAATGGTGGTCTTTATTTTATATTGTTTTAATTAATGCTTTAAGAGTCCCATTACTGGAGTAGAGAGAATGCAGTGAATTCCCTATGCTGGAAGCTACTTATATGAGGCCTGGCTAAAATGGCAGTGTTCCTGCTTCTGCTCCCCTGGCCAGCTCTATGTTCAAACTCATCAACCTCAGTCAAAGGACAGAGAGACCATACCAATATAACAGTGCTCCATGAGAGCTAAAACCCGTGTTACAAACCAACACTCAAGACATATCATTAGGAGAGAGCTGCTCACTGAGAAGCTGACTTAGTCAAGATTCATAGCCACTGAATCTATAGGATGAGCACATTTAAATGTAGAAACACAAGGTAGCATGGCCTCTCCAAACACAGACTAGATGCCAAGGAAACTGAAATGGAAGAAAGACATGCCAGATAAAGAAATTAGAAGAACACTGATACAAAGTGACGCTGGGCCTTCTATAAAATGAGTAGGAAGATCAGAGAGGAAAGAAATGAAACTCACAGAGAGACAGTTCAGAAAGAAAGCCTAGTGACCTAGGCTGACCTCCAGGATCACACAGGAGAAGGAGAGAGACGCATTTCTAAGTTCTCTGTCCTCCACATGTGTGTAGTGGCACACACATGTGTGCACACTCACAGTAAAGAAAGAAAAATAGGAATGGAAAATGTCAGGTTGATCCTGTATGCAGGTGATGTGGTTCCATACAAAAGAAAAACCTGAAGATGCCATCAAGAAACTGTTAAAACTGGTATACTCAGTAAAAGAGCAGGATCTGGTCTTTTACTTTGTCAATAATAAGTTTGATGATAATGAAATCCACAAAGCAATCCCATTCCAAAATACCTACAAACTATGCAGGATGTGAAAAAGCTCTGAAGTGAAAAATGACCAAATTATTACAAGAATAAAAGAAATAGGGAGACATATATGCACACAACCTCCCAGGTTTTAGGTTGGAAAAATTAATGTTGCCAAATGACCATACTATCAAAAAGAATATTGAGACAGCAAAGCCACAGTCAGAACTCACAACTTTCTTCATAAGACTGCATAAAATAATCCTATAGTTTCTTTGGAAAACAAAAGACTCTAAATAGCCAAATCTATATTGAACAAATAAGAACAGATTTAGAAGCATAATTCCCTGATTTCAAAACATACTGCAGAGTCACAGTCATCAAAATAGCACAGTACTGGCAGACACATTGACTAAATTTCCAAAAATGTCCATTGGAGAAAAGATAGCATCTTTAATAAATGGTTCTGGGAAAATGGACACCCACATGGGAAACACTGAAATGTAACCACAATCTCTCATCTAGTACAGAAACAAAAACCAAACAAACCAAACCAAAATGAACAAAAACACCAAGTAAGCAAATAATAAAACCCAAGTCAAAATGAATCAAAGTCCTGAAAGTAAGACCTGAAACTAAAAGTACTTGAGGAAACCAGTGGTAACAGTTAGATGTATCTGCAGTGGTGTGAAGAATGATTTTCAGGGTAAGGTCTCTGGATCATAGGACACAAAGCCCAAACTAACAAACAGCATGGCATCCAGGTAAGAACATTTTGCACAGTGAAGAAAACAAACAATGAAGTAAAGCCCCAATGCACAAAATGAGAAGAAACCTGTGCTAGCTGCTCGCTGCACGCAGGGTTAGTGTTAGAGCATGTAAGGAAACCCACATACTTAAAACAAAAACAGTTAGCAAGTGGGTTAAAGATCTAAACGGCCTGTTCTCAAGAAATACAAATGGCAAATACACCTATAATCCCAGACTTGAAAAGCTGAGGGAGAATCTTGACTTCTGTCTTCTGGGCCATCCTGGGCTACATGGAAAGACCCTGTG